TGAAATCAGTCTTGCAAATTCACACTCAAACATGCATGCAACAGATGAGAATAACTTGGCGCTGTGCACCCAACTCAAACTCGGAGATATGGTAGCTTGCAACTCAACTCAAWTCCAAGTTYACTTCAGTTGACTATGGCGCTGGGCGCCCACACTTACACGTTCGACTCAGAGTTCACACGCAACTCGACTCCGGATCACCCTGGATAGCATGCACGCCAATCACTGCACACCCACATACACACTCACTAACTGTCTATGGCTATGGCGCATGGCCACTAACAGCTAACTAGCCTATCACTAACTTCTGCCCACTTCGTCTTCAGGCCATCTGCAGACCTCCCTTGCACAAGACGCCCGAGCAGCGCTTCCGTAGAGCTTCCRCAGGAATGAATGAATGGCTGGACGCAGCCTCTGGATTTATACTTCTGTGTTGCATTCGTTTGCCTTGCATCCCTGGCCCATGAGGCACACAGTCCCCCCCGTGGTACTTGCTGGACCGGACTGGTACTTTCTAGACTTTCCCATGAMTGCATAGTGACAACCCTACGACGCAGTGCAGTTGCACTGGGGTCCTACTATTTGCCCTTGCCACTTGTCCTCGTCTCCAACATGGGCTTGCTTTAGTCACACCACTTGACCACTTGCCAACCTTCTAGAAGGACTGCAGCTGGACTTCTACTCTACAGGTCTATGGATCAAATCCTGGCTACCTAAAGACCTACGACAGACCTACTTACCACTGGCGGTTCTACAGGTCGCAGGTTCAATTCTTCAAGTTGTCACAGATATTGTACACAGGTAAGTTGGGGAACTAGGGATCGAACCCTGGGTCCTACATCAGCTACTTCGAACTGGTGAATACCGTTTCATCTTGCACAAGTTTGTTTCTCCCTTTTACAAATCTGGTCGCCGTCTGCAGTTCTGCGGTGACGTTGTCAATTTAATCTCCAAGTGTGCGAGGTAAGCCATCATGTTCTGCTGTGCAGACGCCACATTAGTTTCTGAATCAACAACATTGAATTTCTTTTTTACTTCTTGTACCATTCTTGCCTGTTGTTCTTGTTCTTTTCGTTGCCTCTTATATTCTTCTTTTTCTTAAATTTTGCTTCCAATGCAGCTTCCAACTGTGTAATTGTGTCATCAATAATCTCCTACAGTCAGTTCCTCCCTCCTTGCACTCGGTTCTCCTTTCCCTTCCTCTTTAGCCTCTTCTCTGGCTATCTTCGCAAATTGCTCAGCTACAAAATGATCAAGGCGCAACCGTCCTTGATCAATGATCTGTTGCACTCTGCCTTTGGTTTCCAGCATCTGGACAGCAGTTTCAGCCTGTGACAGTTCGTCTTATGCAGCACGCAGATCGAACTGACTGCGTACATGCTGTTCAGCTTCTGGCCCAACGTCGTGCAATTCAGTGAGCAGCTGGCGAAGACGGCTCAACATTTGCTGCCGTCTTTCTTCCACTTGGCCATGAGTTCGTATTATTCCTCCTCCTTGATCAGTGAAGAAGGTAATTGAGATGGGAAAGAAGATGAGAGGGATGAAACGAGTGAGAATAGACTCACGCAAGCAGTTCCAGAGGTAAGTCATCTTTCCCAGTGTGTTTGCCGCACAATAACTTAAACGACAGTTATAAATTCCACGGCCACACTACGAAACGAATTTCAGTTTCCACCACTAGAAATAAGAAATAAAAATAAATTAACTACGGAAACAGAACCTCTATTTTCTATGTCAACTTCTGCTGATTATCTTCCTGATGATGTTTGTTCTATAGTTTGCACAGGTTCCGCAGCCACGGCCAGTGTGATCAAGACAACACAACAAAGGTGAGTTTGCGGTCATCCACAAGACAACCCACAACAGGTAAGTACATCAATCAATCAGCAACACAACAACTAGACAATGTGTTAACGGATCTCCTCTTCCGCTGTCTTCTCGCAGATGGCTGTGTGTCCAGGCACACGTTCTGACACGTGGGACTACAACATAGCCTTGTGCTGTACCGCCTGTCAGATCACACAAATGCAAGTATCTGTCTTCACCAATCTTTCTACGGATGGCAGCGTACGTCAGATCTGCCACGTGTCACACTCCATTCAAGCCTCAGCGACACATCATCCGGAGAAGTGCCATGTCGGCGTCAATGGCCAATAAGGCCGCCAAAATGGAGATGCTTCGCAATCACGTGAGCAGCGAAATCTGCCGAGCCCGTATGTGCTCACTAGAGTGTCGACTTCAGGATGCCGTGTCAACCTGGTATGCTGCTGCTACTTCGGAGATGCCATGTCAGCAGGTAAGTCGCGACAATCCACACATTGCCACATCGAACAATACCCTGCTATGCTGTCGTCGATAGTTGCCACGCCAGCACCGTTGCACCACGCCACATAGGCATGCGAGTGTCAATCCCACGAAGCCATGTCAGCAGCTCTCTCTCTCTCTCTCTCTCTCTCTCTCTCTCTCTCTCTCTCTCTCTCTCTCTCTCTCTCT